TTACAAGTAGGACTGCTTCTGGATAAGCCAAAGGTTGGCATCTTCCCGTTGATCGGTCATCAGGGAAGGGCATGTATCTTTGCCTGTTATCTGCTATGGCCATGTATTGAAACCTACAATAAATTCAGAAAGTCCACAAAATCAACCAATTATTTACTTACTCAAAGTTACTTCACTTGAAACCATACATAGGTGGCTAAAAAAATACTTATGTTTAAACCAACTTGATGTGACTTGCTTCACTGGCCCTAAACAATGACCGGAAGCTATCTTTAACATGCTATGAACACATAATTCTTAAAAAGGAAAATTATAGTTGAGACAATCAATTAATACAAAATAAATTCACAAGAACTAAGTATTGTCTGTAATTGAATCAACCCTGAATTGACTTGGATAAACAGGAAACGTACATTTGCATTTCTGGACAAAGAAAAAAGGGAAGCAGCCTCATAGTTAAGTTTTCACTTGAAATTGTTGGTTTTTTAAAGAAATCCTTTACTGAGCTATAAGCAACCTATTTTTAAAGTGAAAAACATGCTATAAATATGTTACTTGTCTTTTCTGAGCTTGAAAGTAAATCTGGTTTCTCCCAGCTCAAATCCAGGCCATTCCTTGAAATGCTCATAGATGGCATAGGAGTAAAAGCCAGATGAACCACGAAGCATTATAAACCTGCAGAAAGCTAGTCATGATTAATGATTCTGTAGCTGAAATCTTAGTAACAAACCTCTGTATGGTTTAAGCAAGGACCTTTTATCAATATTTAGGGGAATGTACTTGCCCTCGAGGGAGGGATCCCAAGTCCTTGTGAATGAGAGCTCAACTTGTTCCTCATTTTCCACTGTAACACTAAAACTTGTTCCTTGAATCCTGAACAGCAATGAGACAATAACCTTGCTTCACACTTTAGCATAACCACAATAGTAATTATTTTATGGTTAATAACTCAAGTATAATCAAAACCAGAACCACTTTTATGTAATCCTAATGAAACTATCTAAGTAAAAAATTAGGAAAAAGTTGGTAGTAAACTTTGTAAGCAAAGAAGAAAAAGTTCTTTGAAAGGAAACCACTGGCCGACGATAATGACAAAACTCTAGAGATATATAGAAAGAAAATCTTGTTATGCAGAGCATGAGGCTAGAATGAACTAGCTTAAACAGGCAAAACAGTTGTGTATTTTAAAAATTCTTGGATCAAGAAAAATATAAGATCAACCAAGTTTCTATATTAAATACATCTAAATGCTGTTTCAATATAGTTCCTATCCATCTTGTGTTAAAAAAAAATATTCACAAAAGCTATTTGGACAGTCCAAATAGTAAGAAATCCATTTATTGAATTCAAATCTGTCCTAATGAAATTAACTTGAATTGAGATCTTGTGGTTGTCGTATATAAGGAGAAGAGGACAATGTACATACACATCAAATATTCCCTTGCCTCCTATTTCACTCCAGTGCAGGTCCCAATACCTACAATCAGGAAAAATCAGTCAAAGGGAGAGGAAAAGCTCCAGTTTTCTTAAGATTGATGAAAATAAAAGTGTGTGTGTGTGTGTGTGTATAAAAGAAAGGATGTAATAACTCTCTCTATAAGGAGTATAAGAAAATTTGTCTAATATTTTTCCAAAGACATCTAGAAATGTTCTTGCCCTAATCTACAAGCATCTAATTTACTTAAATTAATTAATTCCATGTTTAGAAATGCCTATTAATTATTATTTTGATTGCTATTCACTGAATTAGTTCTATATTTGCAGATCATTAACCATGACAAGCAGAACCAGCTAGAAAAATAAACGTAGCTATAAACTAACCCTCTATTAGTTTCCTTGTTTCGAACTTCAAGCAAATTGTCGATCCCATTATACCGTATACCAGTAACAATACCCCCTGGTTTTGATAATGTGACTTGAACTATGCCATTATCCATCACCACCTGCACAAAATATAATCACAATCAACCCAAAACCCGTCAACTGTAAATTTCCATAAGATTTCATTCAGTCATGCATTCATGCATATCAGCTTCCATCAATTTCTGGTAACCAAAGAAAAGTATACAACAAAATTAACTTACATAACGGTCCTGAATATGCAACCGGACTCCCTGAGGCGGCATGGGAGCCCAATTTGTATCCAGATTCATGTTCAACATATCTGAAAATACATAAGGAACGCTTTTACGAAAGTGTTAAAACTTATCAAAATAGAGAAATAAATCAATGCAAAAAATAGAAAATATTTGTGCCTTTGGCTTAGAGACAAAGCAATCTCTCCTTAACCCTAGGATAGCATGTAAGAAGCCTAAAGCAAGCATATATAAATAAGATCATGAAAAATGTCTAAAAATAAATGTAAAATTTGAATATTGAATCTTGATCAATGATCAGTGAATTTGTTTTACTACTTCCACGTCGAGAATTTACTATTGTCACTCCCTTCACTGAATATGCCTTCAATCAAATCCCTATCACTTATTAATACGTGAAATTTCCAAAATAAATAAAAATCTCCAGTCACCATAAAATTGAAAGCAACAATTTTGAATTTTCAATTACCTTGCCTAGCATTTCCGTTACGTTTGTTACAGCCGCCACAGTCACTGAAACAATCTATGATCCTCTTTAGTGTACTTGTCATGGAGGATCAGTCTGTCACCGAATTAGGCGGTTTTAAGTTCGTCGTACGACAGAGAAACGGCGCTGATGGAAGTGATCGGTTGATCGGAGATGCTTTTGGTGAAGCGGCCGTAGGCGATTGGGAGAACTATCTGTTAATGGTCTGTGACAGTTACACTGGCGCGTAAGGCGTTAAACATTGAGAGAGCGTGTTTTAAAAATGTAATATATGTTCTTTTCTAATATGGATTCAGTATAGAGAAGTTAATCTAAATCGAAATCAACGGTTTTGATTTGGTCGGATAAGATTGGTTTTTTTTTTTTAATCGGATACTGGTATAAAGAAAAATTTACATCGAATGTTAGGCAAACTCAATTCTATCGATTCTATATATAAATATAAATTATTTTTTAAATTATTTATTTAATTATATATATTTATATATATAATTTTATATTTATATTTAAAAAATAATATTTTATTAATTTTGAATCGAATCGAATCAGATATAATTTTATATAATATCGAATCAGATCAAATTTAAATATAAAAAATTAAAAAAATTATCAAATCGAATCGAATTCAAATTTTATATATTTAAAATCATGTTAAGTTCAAAATAAAAAAAAATTTCATTCTAACTCGATCCGTTGTTATCACTAATCAATTATAAAAATCGTTACCTCAACGTATGGGAACGGAAAAAGGATTTTTTTTTTTTTTGAGGAAGAAAAGGAATTTCTTTTATTTGCTTAAACATTGTAACAACATAATTAATGAATCGAAGGTAATAAAGAATAAACAAAAATAAATTTGGGAAAAAAAAAAGAATAAATGAATCAATGTGAGATTTTGTTATTATTATTATTTATATTATAAAAAAATCTCTAATTAAATTGATTTTTTGAGTCACTCAATCAATTAAATTAAAAATTAAAAAATGTCTTTTTATTTTTATTTTTATAAAACACATGTTTTTAACTGCTACCATAATTTTAGTTGCAAATTTCTGGTGACACCAACTCGATTATCGAATTTACATAAAAAATAAAAATATTCTAAAAATAATAATTATAAGATTAAGAAATATATGTTATTTTACTATTTTTATAATATTTGATATAATTTTGTGTACTTTTCATATAATGTTGATAATCTTTAATATGATTTTGACATCTTTTAATATAATTTAGTAACATTTAATATAATATTGTTGATCTTTAATTTGATTTTGATAATTATTGATATAATTTTATTAATTTTTTATAAGATTTTGATAATTTTTTTATATATATTTAATAAATTTGATATAATTTTAATAACATTTCGTGTTACTAATCTTTGATATAATTTTGATAGCCTTTAATATAATGTAATAATCTTTAATATAAATTTTGGCAACATTGGATGTAATTTTGATAACTTTTGATGTAATTTTAGAATCTTTGATATAACTTTGATAGTTTGATAAAATTTTGATAGACTTTGATATGATTTTGATAACTTTGACTTGATTTTGATAATTTTTTTGGTTAATTTAATTTTGATAACTTTAATATAATTTTAGTAATATTTGATGTAATTTTGATAACATTGATATACTTTTGATAGCATTTGATATAATTTTGTTAAACTTACATTTAACTTTGTAACATTTTGTATAATTTTCGTAATCTTTAATATGATTTTGATTGTTTTTAATATAATTCTGTGATAACTTTTGATAACTTTTTAATAAAGACCAGTCAAAAGTAATCAAAATTACATTCAAGGTTAATAAAATTATATCATGTAAATTGATATAATTTACATTAGTATTGAGTTTTTATAATATTAAAGGATGTAAAATTTTATTAATAAATTATGTACTAATTTAAAAATTATTTATTTATATTTTATAATCATAATTTAAAATATATTAATAACACCTATTTAAAAAATAAAATATTCGGACGTGATCATATTCTAATTGTAGATAAGATGTAAATGCAAAATTTGAATTTCATTTAAATTTTAACCGCTAAAAGTACAATTATCTAAACATAATTTAGCAATAAAAAAAATATGAAATGCAATACTAAATATTTGCTCATCAACTTTTGGAATTTAAAGTCTTAATAAAAAAAAAAGTCCCGTACCATGTTTATAGGTCATGGGTGTACCCACAATATGTACGATCCTTATGAATTGGTACATTTTGTTTTCAGGATCATGACGAGTAGGGCACCATGTTCACCTAGTGAGCAATATGACATTCATATTACGTAGCTGACAAACCATTATCATAAAAAAAATTGAATGTCCACAATATTTTTGGTACATTTAGCATTATTGTTATTATTGTTACAATTTGGAATTAATAAAAAGGCAATAGTTTCATCTTTCATGGAAATAAATTTTATAAGCTAAGAAACAAATATCGCATTGGACAGTCAGTATATTAACACAATCTGCATGACTTCGATACAGCAACAACAATATATGCTCTAGGAGGATTTGAGATACAGAAAATGAAATATGTAGCTCTCAAGCTGATTTACATAACCCCAGTGTGTTTCCTCTACTCTGCTAATGCACCAGACTGGGCTCTGTCTTCTTCTGGAAAAATAATGATCCTAATAGAACAGCAATGCCGGTTATCGCAATGGCAAATAGGAGTCGTCTCCGTGAATATCCCGGTGGCTGTCTTCTCCGTGCACCATGCTCCCTTTCGGTGGCCCTCACATCCCTATGTTCCAAATCCATTATATTAAACCCATGATAATTGCTCTAACATAATTCTCTTAAGACAAGGCAGGAAACAAGGAGCCAAAGTCTGACACAGTTTTCAGAAAACAAAGGCTGTACGTGTAACATACTCAACTCCTCAGGCATTATTCAGTGGTCTTTACCGGATTGGAGGCAAGTTCCATCCAGATCCAGGTGACAAGAACAAAAGTTATGCACTATTTCTTGGCATACAAGGGGGGTGGTGGTGGTGGTGGTGGTGGTGGTGGTGGTGTTAGTGATGGTGAAGGGGGGGTGGTTCTTAATTTCTTATGATTCATGGGAGGGACAGGAAAAAGGACAACAATCACATGGCTTATGTAACCATTGATTACATATCACAGCTAAAACAGTCTTTGTCAATGTACAAGCTAAGTAAATACTTTTAACTCGCTATGTTTGTATTAGAATGCAGCATAAAACCCAATTATTCAAAGCGCTAGACCATTTTCCATGGGTGAATCCATTTTGATTTGACAATTGCATAGCTTTCGAAGTATGTGTTCATGTATGAACTATAGATCAACAGTAGATCAACAGAAAGCAATGAATACCTTGCAGACTGAAATCTCTGTAGTAATTACATGTTCTTAATTTCAGACTGAAGTTTGCAATGAATACAAAATGCTAACCTAAACCATGCAAGGCACCAACTTGACAGCTAGATACTATGAAGCCAAAAATATTTCATAACATAGGTCATCAATTAAAGCTTAATAATAGGAATATAATTTATGGAAAAGTGTTAGCTGATTAGTACATCTACCCAAATATTCCAAAGGTAAATTATAGGATATGTACCTTGAAGATCCAACATTGTTTTCCGCAATACCAGTACACCTACTTTCATGGTTATATCTTTCTCTCAGTCTAATGTATCTGTTGCACAGATGACACAGCTCTGTTCGGTTCCCACAGACTTCCTAAAATCACAAAGCAACAGTAATATTGTAACAATTTCACACAACATATAACATTTGAATCCTTTCATTGAAAAATTATTCATAATTAGAACCTGATGCTCAGCCAGATCAATAGCAGGCAATGGAAACTCGCAAAACTCACAAGTAACAATCCTCTGGGGGCAATTTTCACCTTTATGTATGGCTAGAATTTCACGTTCCATTGTCTCGCTGCATAGTGAACAGGCCACCTGCTCACATACACATAGGGTCAATAGCATTACACATGTTAATACATGCATTATGTCAGATTTTGAATTACATACACCCTTGCACATTACATACGGACACCCACATGCGTGCTAAACAAATAAAGGTTGACTGCACCTAACCATTATCATCAATCACTGAAGGACTGGTTGCAGTCTTTATATTCTCTTTTATTTCACTTTTAATAATACTTCAAACCTTCATTGACAATGAACATTTATGCTAAACTAACTTTCAGGAGGTCGATAGATTGCTTCAACCTTATAAATTATATCTATAATTTGAGGAAATACAGCTCCCTTCGTGCCAAATTGAGGCATCTGAACCCAAAAAGGAAAAAAAAAAAACTTGAGTTCAAATGGGAGAAGAAAAGAGGGAGGGGGGTTATCAACTCATATATCCATCAATCTAAACAGGATTTATCAATTAGCTTTAGCAGATAAAAGACATTGGAATGTGACAACTTACATTATCCCTCCCCCAACCCTTCTTCCCAAAAATTTATTTTAAAAGAAAAAACAATCTATGAAAATTCCAATATTTTGGTAAGTTTTGAATCCTACAAATCATTGCTGTTTATTAAGCTACATCCAAGGGTATGCCAATTTCATTACTTCTAGGTCAAGTACCATCAGAAAAACATCAGAGTGATGGGGAAAGCAGAGAAGGGAAATGAGAAAGATAAAAGAATTGATTCATTTGAAAAGAACCAGAAAAGACCTAAACTAGCATACCGGAGCATGGGTGTTTAAGAAATGTTCCTCAGCATGCTTTTTTGGAACCATATCACCACAAACTTTACATTTTTCTAGATTCCGGGAGCAATGAGCATAATGCAAATCAATGTTTGAATTAGGAATGGCCCTGTCACTGAAACATTAAAAAGGAAAAAGTACTTGTTAAAAGTTCTAGGACAAGTGAATTTCCAAAATCATTAAATATCAAGTAGAAAGACCACCCTCATAAAACTGGATTAACAAAAGAAATCATTGCATCATCAAAAAGTAACTAGCAAATCACTTCAAAACTAAGGCATGCATCAAAACAAGAATCAAAAACTAATAATGCGCTTCTATCTTGAATAAAAACAAGGGAATAGATAAGACCCTCGGCAATCTTTGAACTGAAACTAATAATCACCTTCCCAACCATGTAAGGAAAACTACAAAGCACACTTCAAGGTCCCTTGTGAACTACAAGCATTCATGATAAATAGGAAAAACGGGAAGCCGAAAGCTTTTTTCAATATATGCCAATGCTAAGCTTGCAATCCAACAAAAAGTGGATTACAAAGTTATTGTTAATGGAAAATGAGCACGACCCAGAAAAAACCTTGAAAAAAATTACCAACAATTATATTGAAATGTTCAAAATGCCCGCTAATTGAAGCCAAATTTTCATAATTCAATGGATTTTCAGCTATTAACAAAGACAAAGGCGGCGATCACATGAACTCAAGGCAACCACAAACGCATCAAACAAACGTAATTTAAGGTCCTAGCCGACATCAAAGCAGGTAATTCAACTAAAGCCACTCCGTTTACGTCTTGATTTGGTCAACTTAAATTACTAGTAATGAATTAATCTCCGACTACACAAACTAGGGACAAATCAGACAACAAGAATTCCACCACAATGCAAATTTTAAATTTTCCAAAAAAAAAAAAAATTAAAATCTCAGCTGACAAAAGAATCAATATAACTAAACACGAGGGCAGGGATCGGAAAGACACGAAAAAAATTACGTTGAAAATTCAACGAATTAAAATTAATTCTAGAAATTTCAGGAACGCCTTTAAATTAATAAATACCAGTGATTGCATATGCTCGTGGTTTCGTCCGAAGCAACTGCCATAGCGATCCGTTCAAAATCTTTCGCTGACAAAAAGAAAAAAATTAAATTAACAAGAAATAATTAATTGAGGATGAAAATCGGATAATGGGAAATTAAAATTAGTGATCAAGATTAGTAATTAAACCTGCAAAAGGCCCTGGATTTTCGTTGGAAACTCTCTCTTTCCCTTTGTTTTTTACTTTCCTTTTTTTCAAGTTTTATAATAGGAGGGGAAAATAAAATAAAAGGAAAGGAAATTATAGCGACGACTGCGAGACGCATTGTGCTTAACCACTTTGGATTGACCGAACAACTTTACATGAATGACTTTGGGCATTGGGACCGCACCTTTGGGCTTTTTCTCCCACTCGCCTTCCAAGGGCAATGAGTCGCACGATTCTTTGCAATTTGGGCTCTTGCCATTCAACGTTTGTGGGCTTAAATTTCATGATTGGGCCTTCACCAGCAAGCCCTTAAAAAATTCATGACCGCGAGATTTTATTTTCACAAATTTTTAAAAATTAGGAACTCATTTCGTTTTCTTTTTTGGGTAAAAAAATGAAAAAAATAAAAATTCATATGCATTATCTCATATATATATATATATATATATATATATATATACACACATAAAAGTTTTAAACGCCTACGACCCTTTTTTTTATCATCAAATAACGATTTCATATCAAATTTATTCGTGAGCATATTTGATAATAAAACAATAGATGAAAAAAATCTATAAATTATGTGTAATTTATATAACTCAATGTAAATTATCTCATAAAGCACATATTTTTGGTACTTAAATATGTCAAAATTTGAACTTTTAACATTAAAATTAAGAATTCAACGTTTTAATAACATGTTATATAATTGTTGGCATTTGATAAAGCATGCTAATCTTTTTTTTTTATTTATATTTATTAGTAGTTCACCGTATTTAACCATAAGTTGTACCATATACAATAAGTATATATAATTGAAATCTTTCATTCAAACCTTGATATATAGATGATTAATTAATCTTTCCCAATGGTAAATTAAAATAAGTACCAATTTTGTTTAGGAAGTGTCCAATAAAAGGAATCTTTAGCTATTGCCTAATTGATCAATTAGGTGGCCTTCTATTTTTACCTAACAAATTAACAATTTTAAGCTTTTGCTTAATTGGTGAGCTAATTGGTTCAATGTTGTTAGCTTTCCTTTTGGGTAATGCATTGTATGATAAATGGTATAAGACAAATCCCATAAAGTTGGCCAATTGAGTGCTGTTAGTTTTAGCCATCATGACAAGGTTTTCCATGGGCCAAGCGTGCATGGCTAGAAATTAAACATAGCTAGAAGGCTTAGAATAGAAAACCCTAAAAGATATATCAATTAATAGTTTTGATGACTTGAACTAATTAAGACTTCATTTGATACATGATTTTGCTTTTGTGATTTTTTTCTTTTTTATTTATTTATATAAGAAAAAAAGATAAAAAGTATTTAATAAACGAAATCTAAGTAATGAACCTAACATCACATAGTATTAATCGTTAGAGATGAGAAAATTTGTATTCTCCATCTTCTTATCCCCTGGCTAAAATCTCGATTTTGTAATTCATTCCTTTAATAATATAGAAAATATATATATATATATAATATGTTAATTAATTCTTTACAACATGTTGTAGCGTTTGACAATAATAATAATAATTCTTTCCAATTGCTTATTATATTGTTTAAGTCCACGTATGGAATCTTTTTTGTATAAACCTCTTTCTTTACTTTTTTATAAAAAAAAAATCATAATTTGGATATTTAAAATGTCACAACTCAAACATAAAAAAAGGGATTGCATATGGTTGAATTGGTAATTTGTATATTTGTGTCGTATTAAATATTAAAATTTATGTATTTATATCATATTTTACACGAAAATAATATTTTATAATTTGTGTTAACACAAAAATATAAAATTATTTTATTTTATTAAACTTAAAAATAGTTATTACTAAAATTTTAAGTTATGTCATTTTTATGTTCTATTTTTATATCATGTTTATGTCATATTACTGTATTATATTTAAAATTATCAAATCTAATTGACAATAAAATTTAAAATTTAGATATATTAAATATTAATTTTTAAAAATAATTACACGAATTAATTAAATTAAACCTTAAATTCAAAATGTTTTAACTTTTGACTCTATGAGTTTTTTGCTCTTGTTGATGCTTTGAAGAATTCAAAAGAAATTACATTATATTTCACCCAAAAATTAAGTTATTTAAGGTAGGTTTTTGCGTATTCTTCGGACTAATTAAAACAATGTTTCATTTGCAAGTCGTGCTTCGATATGGGATCTTGAATTGAGATGAAAAAGGCACACTTAAAAGGTAGTACCAAAAAAATGAAAATTAAAGATTGACCATTTCTTTCAACTTGCAATTAAGTAATTGATCAAAACCAATATTTAGCACCAAATTAGGTGATTGTTCAACGACTGATTAGTTAATTAAGGTTAAATAAACAAAATTATGATGCACTAATTTTTATATGACAAGTGATGACAAAGATATAAATTGTCCTTCAATTTCATGGGTATTATAAATTATTCAATAGAAATAATAAAAGATTATATTAAATTATAATGAATTATATTTTAATTGTTTAATTTGAAATAAATGATAAATTGATTTTGATATGTTAAACTATAAAAACACATGATTTATATATATACATGTTATACAAAATTTAAGAAAGATTCGCATATATGGTAAAGACTAAATTATTTTCGATCATTCATGCAATTGTTTAAAAAAAAAAAATTAATTTAAGTTTAAAATTTAAATCTTTACATTTATAATATTTTTTTCAAAAAAGACTACAATGTTCAAGTAAAAACAAAGTGGTAGCATGAAAATTGATGATTAATTAATTTGATATGAGAAAAAGTGAAATGGAAATGATGAAATGTTGAAAGAAAACCCCATATATACTTACCCAAAGCCAATATTTAGGGAAAAGAAAAGTTAAACTTTGTTTCCTTATTGTAAAGAAAAGAAAAAAAAATTATTCGCATTAATTCTTTAGCAGTTATATTTCTATTCAGGTGAAAGTACAAGCTAGTTTCACAAAATTCAAGTGGTTTGGCATATGAATATCCACTTGGAAAAGAGCTATTTCAGGTGGGAGCCATAGCCATTTCCAAAAGAAACATCATACTTTCTCCTCTTTCCTAAAACTGGCCACATTTCGAAAAGATAAAGTGTGCTTTCTCTCTTAGCCAGAAACATCAACCACAACAAAGAAAAAGTATAATTTTCAATGAGAAAATGACTGTATATTTATTTAAAATGCAACAAGTCTAATTCCCACTCTTATTTCTTTTTGGATCAAAGCAATGTGAAGGTAATAACAATGGGAAATGGCCTTTTCCTTGGTCCATTCACTAATATCATTTGGCTGATGATTGACACTTGTCCTTACTTTTTGGTTAGAAACATGCGAAAATTATATTATTCTAATCTATCCTTTTAATTATTTTCTGTCCTTTAATCACAAAATGATTCCCATTGGTCGATTCTCAAAGTAGCATAAAATATTTTATTGGACTAACCCTACATGGTTCACGTGGGTTCGACCAATCAGACTCCAAACCCTAGACAATGAGTTTGTTTCACCAAAGAACTGGAATTAATACATGAAATTCTCAACAAAAGTTGGAAAAATATGGAGTAAAATTAATTATAACAAGTTGTACATATAAAAACACAATTAATTCCTAAAATTAGTAATTTAATTAATTAATTTACCCTTCAAATGGCAGCTTGTCCCTTGACAGGCCAATGTTGATGTTGGCGTCGTCTTCACTTGTATTTGGCCATGATCAAATATTTTTATTGCTGGAATGGAACATCAACCTCGAGAAATGACGACGGCTATCCGATCAGATATTTAAAATTATCCAAATTTGAAAAGAATCCTAGGATTGTGTATGCTTTTACAAGCTTAGTGGAAGACATTATCACACATATATATATATATATATATATATATATATATTAAGGGTTCAGGGCTCGATGGGTAGTTATAAGCAAAAAAAAACCTCTTATTTTTTATCTTCAATAAAATTTGTATGGAATATAATCAATTTGATACACTATCAGTGTATTAGTTCTATACACTATTAATGAATAAGATGATAACAATTTATTAATGAGTGAATATCATCCTTTAAAATAAATGTACACAAATTAAAATAACTTAACATTAATGAGATATTATAATCTAATTTACCTTATTAATGAGTTGTTATCATTTGATTTACTATTAATATATAAAATCTATATACTGACAGTGTATCAAATATAAATTTTTTTTATTACATACATAAGTTAGTTTAAGAGGAATAATTAATACATTAAATTAATATATTCATTCCAACATTAATTAAATACAAAGCATCATAATCTTTGGTTCAAATATGCTAGGAGGATGTGCAAAGATAATTTTTTATAAATTCACTCTTAGATCGGCTCGAAAAAAGGATGTAGTTAACGAAACTTAAAAAATTTTTACCGCTAAAAAAACAGTAAAATGCCAAAATCTATTAGTATTATATAGTATGCAATTAACTTATTTCAAAAGTGGATATGAATCATTAGTTGTTTGAATTAATTAGCCATGGTGCTTGATACGATTATCTGCCTAGATGAACCTGGTTTTATAATTATTTTATTGATTTTAAAATGGTAAATTTGCAATCCAACGCAATTTGCATTACCTTTCACGGCACAGGACACCAGACTATTGACTAATTCCGGAAGTGATGGATCTACCATGGATATTGACAACATCATCGTCTTCCAAAACAGCTACTTGAATTTTATGAAAGGAAGTCAGGAAGATTAATTAAATATCGATGTCGTTGTAATGTTTAACATAGATCTATTCTTTTAGAGGTATACGTATGCTTGTTATAAGGCATTTCCTTCATTCTACGAAAAGAATTATACATGTATGTAAGTACTTAAGTTCATAAGAATAAATATGGCTAAAACCTTAATTAGAGCTTTGACCTCAACTTAGTAAGATAGTTACACAAACTTGATAAAATAATCATATCTTACCTCTTAAAAGAAGAAAAACTAAGAGATTTTGAGTTTGAATTCGTCCTCCAACTAATTAATGTTTAATATAAAATATATAAATAGAAAAAAAAGAATAATTAAATACAAAAATTATATATATAAAAAGGAAATAAACATTAGCACAAAATAAAGTTATTATTGTAACTAGCAAATTTAGATTTTCTTTTCATACAAAAGTTTGAATAGTGAAATGAGCGATTTAAACTTGAAATTTCTTTCTTAGAGGTAAGGTATGATTACTAGGAGAAAACTTACATGAAATTCTTTACATGAAGTTGGTAAATTTTCTTTTTAAAAATGATTTAATAAAAATTTTAATAAAAAGTTTAAATTGATATATTGATAGAATTTAATGCGGAGATCAATAATAGGTAAAAAATATTATTTATAATTCAAATTTAATTGATATTTATTTAACGATAAAAATTTTATTAATATTTTTATTAAAAAAATCTATTTAAAAAAATTTATTAAAATTTTTTTAATTTTACTCACTTGATCAATAAATGAATTATTTTAATTTATCGATTTTGATTGTGATTTTTAATTTTGATTTAATCATGTTTAATAATAATAATAATAAAAAAATTTATAAACTTCACCCAAAAAATTCATATGAATCCTTCCCTCACAACCAAAAGTATATATGGGCTTCTAAAAAGTTAGCAGTTTGAGTATGATAGATCACCAATAATTTTTATTGTAATACGTGATGGTAATTATATTTTATATATAGACAGCTGGATTCATAATTATCATATTTTAAATCACCTGAAAGCAACTTATACTAATTATAAATAATTGATCATTGGTTTAATTTTAAACTAAATATAAAAGAACGATTGTGCATATCAAGAAAAGAGTATCAATTAGGTGCTAATACAACCTTGTCGTCTTAACACATTAATGACTTCATATTATTCCTCCTTTTATTTTTAATAAAGAATACATTTTTTGAGTTCATATCTGTTATATTATCAATATATAAATTTTATACATCATTAATAAACTAGATGATATCATTTCATTAATAAATAAATATCAATTTTTAAAATAAATATATAAAAAATTAATAGTTATAAAAATTTTATTTATTAATAAAAATATATCATTCGATTCATCTTATTATCGATATAATATTATTAAATTTATTGATAATATATAAAATTTATATACTGATAATATATCAAATATAAATTTTTTTTTTTTACCTTCTTTTCACATTTACTAATATATCTCTAAGACATATAGATGCACTGGCACCAAAGGCAACATATGTGGTTTACTTAAAAAGTATAAAGAAATGCATAATTATCCATAAGTAGTTTTCTTTGCTTGTCCTTGAAGCAACAGATTATGGAGATAATATTACCAACACGTCGTCCCAAAGTGATCATGTATTGTTTTTTTTTATTTTTTGTTATTATTTTTTAATAAAAAAAAATACTATAGTACATACTTATAATCTCCATCTAATTATCTACCAAAGGATAAACAAAAGCAAGGAGCTCGAAATTTTTACACATTCTCACGTCATGATTCTCTTGATGGAAGAGTCCAAAGATGTCTGTACAACTTTGTGATGAATATTTTTAAATTTAATGCTTTAATTAATATATTATAGCTGAAGATCTTGGGGGTTGCAGCTGAGCTGACGGATTGACAGTGCTACAACCTGGGAAACTGCTTTTCAGAAAACTGAGAAAAAACACAGACGGTGATGAGGTTCTTACCACAAATAAAATAAAGGGCCGAACATATTTGATATTTTCAGGATTCCTTGGCAAGATCGAAAGTTTTTGGATACTTTCGCCCTGGAACTCGGAGTTTTTTTTTTTTTTTTGGGTGCTGCTGCACGGGCTCCAATTTCCCAATTAGGAAACCTTAAATACAAAAAAAAAAATGGAAATCTTTTGCCATTCCCCACATCTTTTTTCGACACGTGGTGGCGTACCTACCTCGGTCAGTTCAATACCCAAATCGCCCCTACCGTTGCCTTCATTGCCAGATGTGTTCCTCTGCTCTACCGGAAATGACGAGGATGTCCTTTGAAAATAATTGATGAGTGGCTGTCCATGATCATGGTAGGAAATTACGGCCATAATCATGGCAAAGTATCATGTGGATTTTCTTTTATTGTCTTTTCGTATCTCTTTAAAAAAAAAAAAACATTGCATGATTTGACTTTGGCCACCATTTGGAATTTACGAAATTTAGAATGTAATACGTAAACTCATTGCATTTCATTTGGTTCAAATATTAATTTTAATGAAATTTATTTAATATAAATTTTATATTAAAATTCTTTTAATCATAATTATAATTTTTTTAATTATATATATATAATTTTTATTATTCTTTTCAATCTTATAACAATCAATTCAACACTTGTCCAAATGTAACTTTAAACCAAATTGAAATACTTCCATTCTTACTATTAACTAGTTAGGTGTGTTTTTTTTCTATATTTTTTATTTTTTTAGAATTAATATCACAAATAAATTTTAAATTATAATAAAATATTTAATATATTATTTAAATTTTAAAAATTTTAATATAACACTTAAATAGTAAACAATTAGTTAATGTTGTACCTACTCTTAATTAATAAATTTATAATTAAATATTACATTAAAAAAATTTTAAATTTAAATATTATATTAAATATTTAAATATAAGTGTAACATTATCCCATTTTTATAAGACAAGTTGCTTTAGTTGGCTGACTTTAATGATTAATTAGAAAGAAATGGATCTTGGCCTGACAAGTTGCCAGAAAAACCCAAACTTCCTTTTACCCATTTTGAGAAAGCCTTTTCTTCTTTAGAAAATGAAGGCTGGTTGGAGCGAACTGTTGAGAATTTTGTTTGATTTCACCCCAGTAATTGAACAGATTCAATCTTTCTTATAGAAGGTCATGGAATATTTCCCTAACTTTAACCAACAATAACTTTAATATGTCCAACAAATTCAAGACACTATCAAAATCAGCATTGATTCTTCCCCATAAAATTGATTATGAGCATATCAGACTTAGGGGAAAAGATAAAAAATAATAAAATTTTTATTATTTTATTTACTAGTAAATAATGTACTTTCACTTAAATTTGTTAGTAAAATTAATAATTTTAAGTTAAATATAAAAATAATTAAAAATAAAAATGATTTAAATAAATATCGACTATAAATTTAAATAAAAATACATTTTCCGCTATTAGATAAATTAGTAAAACTGCATTATTCACTCTTAAATAAATTAATAAAATTTTTACTATTTTTTAAATAATGGAGACAATCCTTCCTTCATATCTATATAAAATAAGCTAGCAAATTTGAATTGAAATTTGAAATGCTCTGAAATTTGAAGATTTCAACCAAATATAGGAGAAAAAAAAATGAAAGCCAATTGACTTCTTTAAGTCATAGTAAATGAATAAATATTTGTTGCAGTTAATACGCATTTGGTCATTAATAAGAACATAATGCATTTGGTCATTAATAAGAACATAAGATAATGAGGTGGTTCTCTTTCTTGAAAAAGACAGCTTCAGCGTAGGGCTGTCACTTTAGCCAACTCTCCCTACAGCCGCATCGAGGGACACAGTGGCCATTCTTATCCTTAAAGGGCAACAAAATTTTGAAATTTTGTTTCAAAAAAGAAAAATTAGTATTTTCCCCAAAATAGGAAATAAGGGTCTCCTTAATCGTGGAAACACGCGTCGGTCATCTATACGAGAGACGGCTCTTTTCTCCCAAATCAAAGCAATTAAACAAATTCTTTCGATTCCTGATTGGTCCACGTGTCCCTAATCCGTCCAAAACCACTACCGGTTTCTACGGCGAAGCGAGCGGTTTTGTTTTCTCTCCTCAAACTTTCCATATATAGATGGCTTTTTTTGCTGCTGATGATGGTCAAGACCAAAACGACATCTCTGAAACCTCGTTTGTCTCCTTTCTCACCGTTTCTCACTTCCTCTCCTAGTAAGTTTTTCCCCTTTTCTTTTTCAAAAAAGAAGTAATCCTGTTTTTTTTTTTTCTCATTTTTTTTGTAAGCTTTTGTTTTATTCCTCTCTCCCTTCTTGTCGAACATCGAGAGTTAATTTTAATTTTAATTTTTTTTGTTGGAATAAGAGAAGATTAATTGTTTGATTACTCGCTGAGCTAAAGCTATGGGGAGAGGGAAAATAGTGATAAGGAGGATCGATAACTCGACGAGCAGACAAGTGACTTTTTCGAAACGAAGGAACGGATTGTTGAAGAAAGCTAAGGAGCTTGCGATCTTGTGCGATGCTGAAGTTGGAGTAATAATCTTCTCCAGTACCGGAAAGCTCTACGAATTTACTAGCACCAGGTCCTTTTAAGATCTCTAATCATCATCATCATCATGATTTTTTATGCTTGATTGTTCGTTTAATTATCATAATTTGTGATAATATTTGTATGTTTGTTCGTAATTTTTTTTATACCTTTTTTTTTGTTAAATGTGACTATAAAACGGGAGCTTAGTGTTTAAAGATGTAGGGAAATATGATTACAAGAGTTATTAATTTTGATTTTATGATTTTATGATTCAAAAAAGTATGGATTTTTCTGTGCATTTAGTTAGAGTTTCCTTTGATTGTTCATCGTCGAGTCGATTATCGTTTAGGATCTGTTCGAGTTCTTAGAAAGTGAGTGTATAGCTACTTTCATAACTTTGAGTACTGTGGTTACTGGTAAGAGGGAGATAATAATTTGAGCTTCTTACTTAGACTTCGAGATTTCTACAAAAGACTAGCCATGGCTCATGGAAGCTTCCCTACAATTGTAAAAAAGACCATAAGATATAACCAATTAAACACCTAAAGTACTTGGTAGGAAATTAAAGAGTGAAAAATAAAGGCTTTGTATTGCAAAACTTCAAAGACCTTCAAAGACTAGTCAGTTGGATTCCAATTAATGCAAGGGTTCAAACCTTGCTGTTTTACATAATTAGATGATATTTAAGATGACATGTAGCAGAAGGATTGATAGGAAGCCTTTGAATCTTAGGTGAAAAAGGTCAGGTTGGGGAAATCTCACCCCCACATCTAGGTCACTAAAAGTCTTATAGTTTATATGGAGCCTGATTAAAGGGCTTCAAAGTTTAACCGCTGAGTTGTGCATTTACTGGACTTCTAAAGGTCCAGTCATAAAATGTACACGTAATTGCGGTGAAACCCCTCTAATCGGGCTCCAAAATGACTTCTTAGTAGTAATGACTAATATATGAAAATTATTAGTATACATAATAACTACAACTTAGCTACTTAAGATTACTTACCTAATAATCCTAAATATGAGCTTTTAAAATTTGTCTAGTATAATGAATATATATTTGCTAAGTATATAATGAATATATATACTTGAAGACTGAATCTGAAGGCATTATAAGTGAATCAAACCTTAAAAGCTCTCCATGCATGTTTGCCTTATATATATATATATACTTATATATATATATATATATATATATATATTTGAACAAGCTAGGCATTTAAAATATATTATCTGAAGTGTTCAATCATAAAATTTTTGGAAAGATGACATAGTGCATTATTGTTTGAAAAGTTAAACAAACAAAGTTTAAACATTGTTTGAGAACAACTTTGAGATAAATATAATCTATAATGAAAATTTTAAATACTAATGAAGCATTACTAAATTCGTTCTAATTAATTTCCCCTTTAAATAGTATTGATGTTTGATGAATATGCATATAATTTAGAGTTACAATTTTTTTTTTTTATAGAAAGAGTTGCAACATTAATTGTAAGATGGTTGGATATGATAGCTAAGTGGTTAAAAAGTTTGCTAGCAATTGGGAAAAATGGTGGTGGCAAGTTGACTAACTCATGGAGGATCGATGGAAGAAATGAACATGATAGGACAGCTGATATATATTCAAAGTCAAGTGTCATTGAGGGATGATATAATTATTGTTGGCAACGATTGATAATGGCACACTGAGCGGTAGTTTGATGGGTGAAGAGATAGAAAAAGTGAGGCTTATGGTATTAAGAGGTCATCATAAGCAAATGGAAGGCTATGTAATAACAAATTGCCTGTGTTTGCTTGGAGTGAGATTAAAAAAAACATAATTTCTTGATATTTTTCAAATGCTAAAGAAAGAATGGGAGGAGGAAAGTGATTTAAATCATTACAACTATGAGGCCATTGAAAGAAAACAAATGACAATTTAAATTATTGAAACATTAATTAGGAATGAACTAAATATATAAATTTCCTTAATTATATAATGTTTTATGTTTCAATTAAACATCCTTCTTTTCATGATTGCATAGTTAGCGAAGTATTTTGAACTTGAAATTTATATCTTTTTAGGAGTCGCATTACGCTATTTCAACATTGCTGCAACATTTACTTATTGAAAAACTTATTAATAATCTATTTAAATAAAATATTTAAAACTTATTTGATTAGTACTTGGAGGGATTCCAACTTAGACCTCACAAAACTTTGATAAAATTTTAAATAGTAAAACACTTAGGGCTTGAGCATAGAGTTTTGATCAATGTATTCATACAATTATATTTAAAATGTGCTATCCAATAAATCTAAATTTAAATTCCAACACCTAAAACATTTTTTTTTATTTTTTGGCTGCAATTTTCTTTATTTTTAAAAACACTTAGATTTTTTTAAAAAAATATAGATTTTAAAGAACCCTTTTCCATCTAAATTGATTTGATCTAAACTTTCTTTGTTTTAAAAAACACTTAAAAGATATATATATATATATATTTTAAATCTAGATTTGAAAGAACCCTTATCCATCTAAATTGATTTTGATCTAAACTTTCCTAAAAAAAAGTGCAGCATACAGGGATCATGGCCATATTCATATCTATATTATGGATAAAGTTAGGTTGTCACTTTGTTTTCATTATCACAGACACTATAATGGACCCCTTAGAAAGAGATAAGATCTAATCATCTTCATTTGCAAAGATTTTCCTACAAGAGGAAGGAAATAAAATAGAAAAGAAATTATGCATGAATCTTTTAAAGGAAAACAGCTTAACATCTACGACATAAACTAAGGTTATTTATGGACCACAATATTACATTATTTAAATATAATATCTTATAATCATAGAAAATATGAAGGAATTCTCAACTAATTACATCATTTAAATACAGTATCTTGCCCAATGAAATATAACCGACATTGACGGGTTTTTAAACACATTCACCACTTGCTCTTTGTTTATTACATTTCATCCAGCTCAAGTCTACTCTTTAGACTTTCTTTATTAATTCTTTTGAAAACTGTTAGGAATAATTGGATACTTTTTCCTATTATTTCCTTTGGTATGCTTGGTGAAAGCCAGTGATCGGCAAGCTCAAAGTTTTCAAGCATTTTATCTGGTGAACTACTGCAAACCTAACTTCATAACGTCAAAATTTTGGATGGTAGATTCTCATTTTAAGCAAAGCAAAGCGTAAAATAGGTGAATTGTGATACGTATAGGAGATCCCTGTCTGTGGAGCCTTTTCTTTTTCTTAATCTATATAAAAATCTTCCCCACCATTTATAGTAAAAGAATAATTACTATCCTCTTCAAGAAAAGAATATAGAAAATTTTCCCTTATGTAATTTTAATTTTTTTAATATTAAGGAAACTTCGTCCCAAGGAATTAGCCTACAATAATAATTTATTAGAATCCTTCTTCCTTTCATAAATGTCTTTGTATATAACAACAATAACAAACTAAGTCTTATATTCCATAATTTTAGTATCGGCTTGAATGATTTTGTATGCAAAAAAAATCGATTGAGTCCAACTAGACCCTCTCGGTTATTTTTAACACAAGTGTTTTTTAGTGGGATTAATTAAATGAATAGAAATTACAATTATAACTAAACAACTTTTAACATACATTTGTAAAAGATATTGATAAAATGCCAAATGAACATAAAATTGGATAAAATTCATACATGATGACATTTGAATTTAACGTGTAGAAGTTCCAATGACAACTTCTTACCTTTGATACAAAGCCTCATTGGCATTTATAGTCATCAAACTCAATCCTTCCATTAAATATCTTCTTTCCAACTTTCTTATTAGAATACAAACCTTAATTACACTTGAAGATAACCATCAAGATTACCTCTTTAGGATACATGAAATTACACTATCCCTTTCATTTTGCCAAAGTATACACTTTATAGTGTTGTCAAACCATAATTAACTATTATTAACAAGGAAAAGAGAAAGAGAGAAGAAGAGGAAGAAGAGAAAAAAGGGAAAAAGAAAGTTGAAGACGATTGGCAGAGAGAGAGTTGTAGGTTCATTGGATCTTCAAGTATGTAACAAATGGAATAATTCTCTCTCATTTTACTAATTCTCCCTTCTCATTTTCAATATTTGAGTATGAAATCTTCGAATTAAAATTCTTAAAATTTTAACCATTAGGATGTGATACTATGAATATTTAATTAAGAGGTTGGAAGAAAAGGACAAGCATACACATAAAATGAGAGATTATTGTGATTTCTTCGAATTATTAAGGAAAATTTTCAAATTAATGCTAGTTTTATGTGTTAGTGTGACCTAACTATTGAATGATTGGACAAAGAGAAGAGAAAGAAAGATATGTATGTTTGTTAGTGTGACCTAATTGTTTTTTTCTCTCTTAGGAACTATGGTTCAATTTTCTTTAGATTTCTTCACATGTACCAAAAATGAAAATTTCGATTCAAATCCTTTTATTATTTAATAGATTGCAAATAAGAAGAAAGAAAATAATAAATTTTTAAAATTTTCTTGTTTCTAGCAATAATCCTTCAAAATTGCAAGAAACACTGTTTAAATTAAACATTTTATTTATAGTTTTGCCTCCAATTTCTTTCTTTTTAATTTTTTTTTTCATTTGTGTACCAAACACAAGAAAAGAAAAATAATTTTTCCTACCCTCTTTCATTTTTTTTTCTTGCCAAAGATAGTTTAAATATAAGAGATTGGATTAAGATGGGAAAACGAGAAAAAAAAATAGCCTAACCCTAAAGAATTTTTGGATAATGCTTGTATAATGATTTCAATGCCTAAGCTTGATTAGCCGAACTCAATCCAAACAAATTTTAAATTTATTTATATTTTCATTATAGTTAACATAAAACACACATTACTTCCTCTCATCTTCTTTATTCACCTTTCAAAGATATTTCACAATGATTTTTTTTTTTTCAATTTTGAACACCTTATACTCTTACTTTTTATATATTTAAAATTTATTTTTGAATTTTTTAACATTAAAAAATAAGGTACATCAATACTATAAAAAAATTAAATTCATAATATTAATACATAAAAAAAATTTTAACATGTGTAAAAATCTTCAAAAGACAAACAACTCGAGACGAAAGAAATACTATATACATAAACATTTTACCATCTATAAATTTTATTTTCATAGGGACCAGCCCCAACAATTTAACTTATTAAGTTTCAAGTTCTATTCAATTCAGCATTCCCTACAATTAGCGAAGGAAAAAGGAAGCGAGAGCTAACCTACGATTTAAACAATATATTGAAAATTAATAAAGAGGAAAAATCTAATTCCATTAGTATAAGTTTTATTTATTTTTTTATTTTTGGTAGAAAATTAAATTTACAACTAATTTCACTTAAAATAATAATTTTAATCTTAATCATTTTGATAAAAAATAAAAAACAAACATAAAACAAAACACTAATATGAGTGAATTCATCCCCCTCGATAATAAAAATGATTTGTGAAAAGCCAAAAAAAAAAAATCATGAAACACAATTTTCTTGTTAAATAAGTAGAAGGATCGAATAGATTAGATGATCCATGATATGACATAATTCAATAAGGTATGGGACGTGTTTGGCATGATTCATTATTAAATAATCGGACTAGGCCAAGCATAAGATATACATATGTGCCATGCTGAGCTATAAGTTTTTAGATCAATGAGTCGACATGACACGCCCTTTCAAGAACTAATGTCAATACGTGACACATGAGTTAATACAACACGATACACAAGTTCAAATATATCATGTCATATTAGTCCATAATTGTTATAAATGAGTGTTTGACCTTTGAGTATATTCTTATTATTTTTTATATTTTAATAAAATTATATTTATTTTTTAGTAATTTATAAAATAAAATTATATTAAATGAATTTACTTATTAAATACTAAAATTATTGATAAATAAATTATATCAAACTAGTTTACAAACCATTTTATGTATGGATTATTTTTATTCATTTAGATTTGTGTATAAAAACAAATTAACATTATTTTTAAAGTAATATGATCAAAACCTTCAAACATATATATATATATATATATATATATATATATATTTAATTGTAAAATAAAAGAAGGACTGATTATCTAAAGGGCATAAGAAAAAACACCACACTAAATATACCACTTTAAACAATCCCACACAAGCTATATTTAATATTTTAACGGGTCTTTACGTGTATTTTATTTTTTACAAAATAATTGATGTAATCAATTATCTAAGTTTATAATGCAATTTGAGCAATCATTTGTTTTTGCAAATGATGCATGTTTTAATAATTTAAGGTTTATTTGGATGAATTGGGAGATTAACTCCAATAAAAGTAAAAACAGTAATAAAAATTATTATAATTGTGATTAAACAAATTTAAATAACAAATTTATGCTGAATGAATGTCACTGAAATTAATATTAAGATTCAATTTATGGTGCGCAGAGCTTAACTACACTTCACTAGAGGTGCAGTTACATCAAAACATAGACTTAATTAAAAATGATACACTCATCAATTATAAAACAATTTCAAAAAAATACTATTAGATCAAATGCTTTTAAAATATTTTTTTCTTTTAAAAAAATTTAATCTCTAGTTTATCTAAAATTCTCTAAAATTTAACTTACTTTATATAGATTAATTAACAAAATCTTAATTATATGCATATTACTGATCATTGGATAGATGATGTACATTTTTTTAAAAAAATATTAAGATTATAATTTTAATATCTTTATTTAGTTAATTTTATTACCCAACTTCGTAGATATAAACATTTTGCTAAACTAGGTAAATTCAATAATGCATCTTTTATTTCATTATGTGTTTATTATCTCCCATGTGTTAATTTTAATAATAATAGATGAAAATTTTTTTAAATAATTAAAATTTTGAAAAAATATTAATAGGCTATGTTTTGTCCAACTCCACGCAAAAAATAGTGTCATGCGATGCAACACGACTCATGAAAATTACAAATCATGTGCCGTGTTGATCTTACCCTTAACCTTCATGAACCGTACGTATGGCACATTAAAAAATAGTGTTAAACTGACACAATTCATTAACATATGGACTAACATTTAAATGGGTTGTGCCGACCCAACATAACCATTTGACACTTATAAAAATAAGCAGAATATTAGTGTTTTTTTTAAGGAAAAGGATGTCAACTTGAATATTTCTGCCACTAGGGTCTATATACGAAGAATAATCTGAAAAAGCAAGTGTTGTCAGGATGCCAAATGCATTCGTAAATCTGTAACATCTAGCATGACAAATTAGATACACGACCAACAAACAAAGTGATAAGGAAGTTATAAACTAGTTCATAATGATAGTTAGAAGACTCGATTAATAAGGAACAATACCTCTTATTTTGAGTTCTTGCTTTTAATATTTATACAAGACTCTATTTTGAATTTGTTTATTAAAATTGGTGAAATTTAACTTGCAGAGTTAAAAACTATCTTATATTTTACCTTATTTTTAATTTTTTTACTATAGAAATAAGTTTCAATCTGATAATTTTAACAATATAGTTCAAAAACTCTAGTGTCAATGATAAGTGATGAATCTTGATATTTAATTTTAAAATAACCAAATAATAATATAATAAAAAAGATATTTCACCCTTTTTTTGAAAAATCTTATATATATAAGTAAACACAAGTTCATAAAATTATAAAACAAAAATATTATTATTACATCATAATACTTATAAACTAATTGGATGTGTAATTAACTATAGAAAATATTATATTATGAAACTTTCTGGATTCTTTTGATAATTTAAAATTAAAATAAAAAATGTCACTAAATTAATTATTAAATATTTTATCAAAACCAAAAAAACTACATATATATATATATATATTTAAACGAAGATGAAATTTCAAGATTAGAAATTATGGTGTTTTTTTTTTTTTTTAAAGTAGTTTCCAAATAATTTTTTTGTTAGAAAAATTACAACATAAGATACAGATCTAAGATAAAAGTTAAAAAAATGATATGAACAGAAGAATGTAGGTTGAAAAGAAAATGAACTTAAGATTTAATCCAAATGATTTTTGTCAACTTTCTTACAAGGTGCATTCCTACAAAATTAAAATTTGATTCCCTGACACTTTCCTAAAACCCTTTAATTTCAGCCTTCCTTGTACTAGAAGAACTCATTTGATAATTTGTTAAAAACTTTTGAGTCTTACTGAAAATAAGAAGAAAATTTTATATGATTGTGATTTAATACTTATGAAAGCTTCTTAATTTTAAGAATTTGTAGTTTGTGATTGTCGGGTGTAATAAATAGATAAATATATAATATAATTTGAACATCTCTTAAATTACAATGCATAATATTTTATTATAAAATAAACAATAATAATAAAATTAACATTTTTAATCCGAAGGACCAATTTAAATATATTTAATATAAATATACATAAAAAATAAAGTGATTTAAAAATTTTGGGGTTACATGACCCCTCTGTCTCCCATTAAGAAACGCTCGTATCCGGAGATGTGATGTAATTTTTTTAGAAAATTATTTCATGTCCACAAATGAAATAATTAAAAATAATATATATCCCCATATCCTTGATATAATTTTGTCCTTAAAGAGTGCAAATCCTAATACCATCAAATACCGAAAAAAAAAAAAACCCTCCTAAAATAAAATGATTTACAAACAATTTAAGGTTCATTAAAAAATTTATATATAATATTGAATAAACTTGTCTATGACCCTGGTCTAACTCAAGCCGAGCCTACATAATATAATAACCAGTTTCAAGCTTATTCAAGTTTGGTTTGAAATATGACCCTTGTTTTGCTACCCAAGCCAAATCCATTTTAAAAGAGTTATCCAAGTTTGTTCATATTTTATTTTCTTCAAATTAAAAGAATAAAAATAATTTTTATGATAAATACTAATTATGATAAAATAAATAATCAACGAAATAAAATAAAAAATACTTTGTTAATTTAATTTGATTTTTGAATATGGTTACTATATATAAACATAGGATGTTAATGTATACATATGTATTATTTAATTATCTATTTATTTTTATGTAAAATAAATATAAAATATATATTATAGTTATTTGAGCCAAAGCAAGCTGAACTCGAGCCTTAAACTTCATGAGCAAGGCTCGACATTACAATCTACAACTTGTGAGTATTGCTCACTTTAAATTGCTAGATGTTACAATTTGGTCTTAATAAAAACTCGCAAGTTAAATTCATAGCTGCTCTCTAGGATCATGATATTCTCCCCCAACAAAAGTCCACCGTTTTTTATGACACATCGTTAATACCTCCAAAACTGAATTTGATACCTAACGTTCCCAAAACTAGCTCTAATACCCAACATCAAGATATTGTCTACTTTAATCCTATTGAACATCATAATTTTGTCACACAAAAGACACACCACAAGTTAAAAGTGATACAAACCCACCAACTCTAATATACAACATATGTGAGATTCACAACTATTCTCTAGGGCCATTACACTCGAGCCTGATTTCTAAATGAACCTAAAATTCAAGGCTAGACTTATTTAACAAATCTAAAATTTATACACAACCCTCCCAAATTTATGGTCTTCCAAATTTTGACAAGTAATTCAACCCTTAGCATGTCTAACCTTGTACGACATAATTATAAAATTTTTTATACAAAAAAAAATCACTACATGAAAATAAAAATTAATTACAAATAATAAAATTTATATCCAAACCTTAGCTTAATTGCTTTGGAGTAATTCACATAATAAATTAAGTCAAAGTAGGGTTTTATAATACTTTGACTTGAAAGAACTAAGAACCTAACAAAAAAAAAACAAGTAATAAAAATATTTTTACTTGTCATTTTTACTAATTTATATATATATATATGTATGTATGTATGTATGTATGTATGTCATAACAGAGTCAATATAATATAAGCCAAAGCATCCAATTACCCTGTTTAGTCCCTTTTGAGTCAACAGTTCACATCAAAATGTTTAATATCAAACATAAAGTCTTCCTGAGCACATGTAGGTCGAACTTATCAAGTTGATTTCGATCAACTCATTCATGTACTAGGTGCAAATTTGTTTGTGTAAAAACTCATTTCAAACTTATCTACAATATCAACCATGAGATTATTTAAGACATCACAATTAAGAGTCAAATTTTCTAAGTTTGAATGCATAATAATAAGAAATTTTTTTATACAAGAAAAGAAGCTTAAAAATAGTAAAAAATATTACAGGTATTTGAATTCAAATCTCAAACTTCCTATATGTCATCTTTAAGGATGTCATCTGAACAAAACTGAGCTAACAGAAAGAGTAGCTAAGAGTTTGCGAAATGTGGTTTTGTTAAGAAAAATGAAAAAAAAAATGCTGAATTTGGGTGACAGAAAATTGATTCAGCTATATATTGAAGTTCTATGTATTTACATCCTCTATCATTGTGAGTAATCCAACTATTTTTGGACTAAAATTTTCAACCCAAATGACGCAAGTAGTTATAAAAGGGCAAATGGCTCTAGGATCAAGAAACCACAGTGCAAGCCCAAAAGCCAAACCTCTGGTGAAAATTTGATTGTACTGAAGCAGATCTATGGGTTAACTTTTGGAAAATATTACACGAAATATGATTCTAACATAAATTACCACGCACAGAACTTGCAGATATGGTATCCATGGAAAAGAGGGAAGATGAATTTGGGATCAAAAAACGCATAAGATGGTGAAAAATAATGAGATCTTAAAGGAATAAACCAAATAACTTCTGTGTCAACAGCAGCTTAAGACAAAACACCTCACTTAGATAGCAAAGAAGCATGCATACCTTGCCTGAGGTCATGAAGTCAAACAAGCTCCAATCTTTTATGCTCCCTACTCGTGGTAAAGAATCATGGAGAGTTGACATATAACAACGGGATCAATAATCCTTTCTCAAAATGACAGATAATTTCAGCCAGACAGATGACCTCTTCTTTACTAATCAGATTCGGAAACAAAGTGGGGAGGCAAAGGCACATATTTGAACAGAAAAGTACAAGATTAAATAATGAGAGGACAGGGAAACAACATTCTGACTAGTTAAGGAGGGAAAGGAAAGGTGGCAATGTAGAGATTGAAAGAATACAAATTTTACTAAGAATGCAATCTGTCTGTCTAGTTTAGATGTCATATTTGAACAGAAAAGTACAAGATTAAATAAAGCGAGGACAGGTAAACAAAATTCTGACTAGTTAAGACTTAACTTTCATATTTAACCAAAAAGAATACTCACTTTTAGGATTGCAACTTTCGTTTTTCTGTACACCACCTGATTTAGCTCCTGGAAGGAAGCTTCTGTTGACTAATATAATCACGAATTTGTCAGATACAAATATACAACACTATTAGATACACTTGGAAAGGAGAGAGAGAGAAAGCGGTGAAGTTGACATAAGATACCATTATACTTTCTAGAGCCCATGTGTGGCCGTTTCGAATGTTATGTGACCATCATTCTCTCTGTTTTTCTTTTCTCTCATGTAGGCATTTAGAAATTACAGAATGTCTGATGCAATTCAAATCTTCTCTTGACAGCATGAGATCAGTAATTGAACGATACAGCAAAACTAAGGTGGAACATCAACTGGGGAACCCAACCTCTCAAGTCAAGGTATTGTTTGGTACTTAATACTAAATTTCTTGTATTTCACCTTCAGAGCATGCTCAATGTGTATTAGTGAATTTGCATGCATTTAGCTTCTACCGGAAAAAGAAAAGGTAAGATTCAAGGTCAATAAATTTCCACTTATTGGACCAAACTTATTACAAGCACATCTGGAAATGTAATGTGCGAAATTCAACATTCCTAACTTTGCATATACTATTTTAGCTGAACAAAAACTAGGACCAGTAGAGCTAAAAACCAGCTCTGTGTTTTTCTGGGTTGACAGTGGGTAGAAGGCACTGACAGAAAATGCTTGCAACTATTTTATAGCTAGATATTGGTTTCAGGTCTAGACTTTATGCATCTACTGACAAACTTGACAGCCCAAAACCTGAAAGATAACAATTGATTCAAATATATTCCATTAACTCCTCTTCTAAATGTTGGAATGCATAAATAGGCTAAATTACCGTGCCAGGACTGTGTTGTTCTCATAGCTCTAGATGATGGAAACAGTATCAATAAGATATAATAAATTGGATGACATCATGGAAAAGAAAATCTAGCCCAGGGTGAACATCAGCAAAATGAAAATACTAGGAAGCAAATTATTAGCTTCAGGTGAGACCATGGACATCAAATAGGAATCAGATTTTGTTCCAAAAAGAAATAGGAAAGAATTCTTAAACAGCGAACAATCAGAGCTATTACTCACTACATCAAAAAATTTCCATTAATGAAAGATGTCAGATTGAATAACCCAAAACTTCACTTTTTCAGCCATGATCCTGCTCAGATTTATGTTTAAGATGTAGCTAAAAACCTTTCTTGGTCATATAAACACCACAATCCTCCTTTTTCTGGGCTTGGGACAATGTGATTTGCAAAAGACAAGCAGTGTCACCATAAACCGTGGGAAAGAATTTCCTAAAAGATATATACCATAAAGGAGTGATTGTAAAGGTTCAACTAGCAAAATATCTTTTGCAGCTAATAAAAAAGAAAAACCATAATAAGATGATGTCTAGAAAATGTACGAGTCTAGGACATATTTCTATTTGTGCTAAAAACGATATATTCTAAAATAAAATAATTAAAAGGAAGGGTACATGTGCTAAAAAGCTCAGACCACACAGAGAATTAAACAGTTTGAGCAGGTCTTAGTTGTGACCAGTAAGATACCTTCCATTGACAACTAAGGTCAAATCATGATAGTATTCATGTGGTATTTAGTACTTAGTAGCATGTACAAATTACATGTTTTATTTTTATGTACCAGATAACTTTTAGAAGCCAAGGTTCCAACCATAGAAGTTACTGTATGAAGTCATCATGAAAAAATTTATTTGATGTTTGGTATAGACTATACACGTAATGAAGGAAGAAAGCAATACCTTACATAAATATGCAGGGATGGAAGGTTAAAAAGAGGTTACTGGTACTGCCTCATAGTCATGACATTCAACCTAGAAAGTTTTAGAGCGAAACTACCATTTATCTCAGCCTGTTGTCAAGATAAAAACCATCTTGTTAGTAACAATGCTTTGTACTTGTGGTTTTAGAGGGCAACTACAGCATAAACATGACTAAGATATTAACAGATCAATAAAGCAAGAAATTTCCAATGTCAGCAGATATCTTAAGGAGAATCATTGAATAAAGGAAAGAAGAGATTTGATGAAGCTAGAGACTACGGCCTACGTAGCAGTCAGCTATCTAAGTTTCCTATGTGTATGGAAGAAATTTTCCCAGTTTAGAGAACCATTGCCAATGTCTTCCTCGTCAAAAAAAATGGAGCCAGATGTTTTAAGGGGTGACGCTTTGAACTTGACTCCAAGTTTTGCCCATGAAAAATTATTTAATTCACCATTGGGAAATCTCCGCTACATGGGTTGGCAATGGTAAAACCTACTTTATCTGTTCCTCGTGTTTAAATCACTCTACTCTATTAACCTGCCAACAAACAGTTACCTTAGAAAATAGGAAAATCATTACAATTACACCTTTCTCTAAAAACTTCACCAATTTTCTTGAGAAGCCATCTCTTCATCTCATTCATGCCTTCAGACTAGGCAAAAGCTTCCTTCAACAAATCATATTCATGGACAGCTCCAAAGTCAACAACATATTTCGAGGGCAAAATCGAACTTGTCATTTCTTGCTTCTAGACCAAATTCAAAGACTCATCTATAATCTATCTACTTTGGAATTCATATCTCCAACCCTTTTATGCTTTTAAACTTTTTACCAGTGATATATAAAGAAGCTAGAAACATTCTCCAATCTCCAAATAGAAATCATGTTACTCCAAGAAGAAAGTTTGTGCTTGCAATAGCCAGAAGAAAAAGCATCAATAGGTGCATATAAAGTTCATATGGGATTTTGAGAAGTTAACTCTAATAGCCTAATTTTACTTGCTAAGTTGCTTGATCAGTCACCAAAAATCAGGGCCGTTTTCATCTCCTTTCCTACTAACGTTTCAAGAAGCATTTTTCTTAGAAATAGGAAAATCAATACAATTACCCCTTTCCATAAAGACTTCATTACTTTCCTTGAGAAGCCATCTCTTCATCTCTTTCGTGCCTCAAAATAGGAAAAAGCTTCCTCCATCAACTACTTTGGATTACATATCTCCACCCCTGCTGATATAAATAGAAGCCAGAAGCATTCTCTAATGTCCAAATAGAAATCATATTACTCTAAGAAGAAAGTTTGTACTTTGCAATATCCAGAAGCAAAGCATCTATTGGTGCATATAAGTTTCACATTGGATTTTGAAAAGTTGCTATCTCTAGCAGCCTAATTTTACTTGCTAAAGTTGCTTGATCAGGCAATCCAAAAATCAGGGCCATTTTCATCTCTTTTCCTATTAAAATTTCAACAAGCAGTTACCTTAAAAAATAGAAAAATCCTTACATTTACCCCTTTCCATAAAGACTTAATTGACTTTCTTGACAAACCATCTCTTCATCTTTTTAATGCCTTAAAATAGGCAAAAGCTTCCTCCAAGAAATCATATTCATGGACAGCCCCAAAGTCCACAACCTATTCCAAGGGCAAAATAGACCTCGAATTCCTTTGCTTCTAGACCAAATCCAAAACTCATCTATAATCTACTTTGGGATTTATATCTCCACCATGTTTATGCTTTTAAACTTTTCACAGCTGATATACATAGAAGCTAGAAGCATTCTCCAATCCCCAAATAAAAAACATATTACTCCAAGAAGAAAGTTTGTACTTTGCAATTTCCAGAAGAAAAAGCTTCTGGCTCTAACAGCCTAATTTTACTTGCTAAATTGCTTGATCAGGTAATCCAAAATTAAGGGGCGTGTTCATCTCTTTTCTTATTAGCATTTCAACAGTCAGTTACCTTAAAAAATAGGAAAATCCTTACAATTACCCCATTCCATACAGACTTCATCGATTTTCTTGAGAAGCCATCTCTTCATCACTTTTATGCCTCAAAATAGGCAAAAGCTTCCTCCAAAAAATCATATTCATGGACAGCTCCAAAGTCAATAACATATTCCAAGGGCAAAATATACCTTTCCTTGCTTCTATACCAAATCCAAAGACTCATCTATGATCTATCTACTTTGAAATTCATATCTCCACCTCTCTTATGCTTTTATACTTTTTGCTGGTGATATATATAGAAGCTTAGAAGCATTCTCCAATCTCCAAATAGAAAACACATTACTCCTAGAAGAATGTTCTTTGCAATATCCAGAAGAAAACGCACCTATCAGTGCATGTAAATTTCGCATGGATTTTGAAAAGTTGTTAGCTCTAACAGCCTAATTTTACTTGCTGAGTTGCTTGATCAGGCAATCCAAAAGGCAACAATAGAATCAAGCATCTGGGTCAAGAGCTAAGAATGTGCATAACTTTGACAAGTAGACCAAGAACTCACGAAGTGACTTATCATCCAAATAATTAAACCATCAAATTACTGCTCCCACTAACACATTAATTGAACTCATAATGCAACTTTCTCTACAAGATAAAAAATCCTCTCTAGCAAGAACCTTGGATCTAAATATGTTTGATTCTGTTGTGAATTGCCAATGATTGTATAGGTAATTCAGAGCATTGTCAAGTCTATATATATGTATGGTTATTGTAATATTTCAGTGTCAAAGTTATTTATATGCACAATCATACTTTGAGCAATAAAAAGTTGTGCACTGTGAATCTTACCGTATCATGTGTCTTATTTTTCAGCTCTGGCAAAGAGAGGTAGCAATTCTAAGACAACAACTGCAAAACCTGCAAGAAAATCATAGGTATGTTGATTTTTTAACAACATAAATTCATCCAATCAAAAACCAATGGAAAGGTACAATGATCCAAAATTACAGAATCAAGAAACCATTTTTACATTAGGCATTGTTTAGAATACAACTATGCCCATATGTCCGAATTCAACACAGACAAACTCATGCTTTCAAACAATAACATAAATTAGTGAAATAACAGCTTCTTTCTCCATTGACCTGTTATAACTATTTATTCCAAACTTTTATGATGCAATTATGCTCAGGATGTTCTATCCTTTATATAATGGTTCATATATTTGAAGATCAAACTGAATGAATCATCCATTCTTCAATTAAGATGAACAACCACAGATTAATGGTCCTAGACGTTAATTTCTGTTATGTAAAAGGCAGATTTTATATCTAGCCTTAAAGAATCAAATGCCTCAACACTAAAAATGGCCCCAAGAATAGAAAGTGACTGAAAAGTCCATTGCATCTCATCTACATGCCTACAAAAAGCTTCTATAATGTCTAAGATACAAATTTTATAGACCAAAATTATGCTTTTGCATTCCAAAACAGGCAAATGATGGGTGAAGAACTTTCTGGATTGAGCGTAAAAGATTTACAGAATTTGGAGAGTCAATTGGAAATGAGTCTTCGCAGTGTCCGTATGAAGAAGGTTTGATGTTCTTATTTCCATGTCATGCTCTGTTTTTTTAGTTCAAAATAGCATGCAAAATGAAGCAACCCCATTTTAGTAACATTTTCTCTTTTGCTGTAGGACCAAATTTTAATGGATGAAATTCAAGAAGTGAACAGAAAGGTAAACCCTGAAAGAAATAGATTCAGCTCCTTACTATCATACTGTCTCAGCTCAAGTGGTTAAATTGCTTTGTCTCATTGCAGGGGAACCTCGTTTATCAAGAAAATCTGGAACTCTATAAGAAGGTAAACCTAATTCGTCAAGAAAACATGGAATTATATAAGAAGGTATAAATTTGAATGGCTCATGAAAATCTCAATTATCATATTCAACCATTAAACCTTTGTCAGTTATGAGTTGTTCTAAAAACCAACCTCAACCAAAAAGTTTCACATTCCAGGTTTATGGAACAAGGGAAGTGAATGGTGCAAACAAAGACTCCCTTCTCACAAATGGTCTTGGTATTGGAGAGGACTCACATGTGCCTGTCCATCTCCAGCTAAGCCAGCCACAGCAACAAAACCACGAGACACCAGCAAGAGCTACAAAATTGGGGTATATTTTCCTCCATATGGTATAATATATCAAGATACTGCTTCCTTTGCCACAATTTGATCTCCAACTTCTTTTCATGGTAACTGCAGCAGACTACAATTGCATTAACAAAACAGATGCATCAAACTGGGATTGGATGTCACTTGACTTCTATCAACAAATAACTCGTGTTCCAAAAGTTATGCTTCTCATAGTAAGATGTGGTATGTTAAAACCACCGTTCATTCAGCAAAATCAACATTGGTTCGAAATGATTAAACAAATTAACTTTAGAATGTGTGTGATGATCAAGAAAACCAGCTAGTTATGTAAACATAAATTAAGTGTAATAAAGAAAAATACACATATATAGGAGAAAATGGACATTACATTCCATGTGCAGTTCTTGCAGTTTTAAAGATAACTGGCAATGGAGGTCACAATTACAATTATTTTAGTCAATTTTAATAGGAAAAACTTATTGTAGTTGCCATTTTGTGGAACATATATGACAGCAACAGGGTGCTTCAGAAAGATATTAGTATTTAGATAAGTGAAGCTACAAACAAAAGATGAACTATAGAAGCATCACAAACAAGATGTTTAGAAGACTCAATTCATTGTAGTTTTACTGCAACTCCATTTTCAATAATAAAACGAAGATGGAGTAACTCTACGTACCTTCTTTTTCTTCATCACATAACATAGCAGACAGAAAACTGATACCATGATCCGCGATACAAAAAGAATGGTTCATATAACAATCTGAGAACACCAGTTCAGGATACCCTATGCAAAAGAAAATAGCCTTGTTATATAATACAATACCAAAACTATACAAGAAGAAGGTGAAAACAAGTTTCTTCAGTGACTAATACATAGCATGATTGGTTAATGCAAACTGATAGTAAGAGACAAACATATTATATAAATAGGATGATAGTGCAATTTCAAAATGCAAACCAAAGGATTGTATATCTAGTTAACTGCTCAACTTGAAGATGCATAAGTATCTTCTTCATGACTTAAAACCAAGGACCATTCTTTTCCCAAGAACAGCTTGCATTCACATAGCCAGCATACACAGTTACCCATTGAGATATTGGGTCTTAAAAGAAACTTAAGACTGCATCCAATGCCAGCAAGTGTCAGATCAAAGTACAGCATACAAGCATCCCAAGGAAGGTTCACAACCCAATACTAGAAATGTCATAAAATTAGAGTTTGCAGAACAAGGAATCAGCAAATTTAACAAGGAACCATAAGCATACACTGCAATAACTCCGCCTGTGACCACAATATATGCCTATATCTGTGCCCCCCAAGCCCGGATAAAGGAGGAGGGTTGCAAAATGTTGAAATGAAATACTACAAAACGGTTATGGACTATCAAAATAACTTAACTTTCGAATTGTAAAATAAAATACAAGTATAACTAGAGCAAAATAGGACTTAGATATGTGCCTTGCAATGAAGTTTAATTATATTTTAATGTTGACGACCCAACTCTTTATTTTTCGTATAGTACCCATGTTGGACGCATAACTAACATATACCTTAGAATTCCATCTGGAACATTAAAACTTGATGCAAATGAAGCCATATTATTCATGAAGAGACATAATCAAGCATGCTAAAAAAGAAAAAAAGGATGAAAGCAAAGAAGAAATGAGGTAAAGGGAGAGCAAAACAGAGAAATATACTCATATACTTGTGTATATTATACAAGAGAAAGAAAAGCAAACATCAATACTTCGCTCATCACCCTCTCACAAACACATGATATATCCAAAAACATGAATTAGTAGGACTTGAAGAACTACTCATAAAACAGTTAGGGAAGTTTTCCAACACATAAACAAATAAACCTACTAAATAACATTTACAAATGACCATTATGAGCTTCTATAATCTTGATCCTCAAAATTCTTCCCTTCCTCCAAATTCCAACACATAATGAGGGGTGTGTTCTAGCCATAAGGTTTTGAGAGAAAAGATCAGCTTAGCTCATGCATGTTGAAACTTGTTACAGCTTGATTTTTCTCATACTTAGCCATTTGCAGATTAAATGATTTAATATTGTTATTTGCAAGACACTCAAACTAAATCACAGCCATCAAAGGCACTTGAAGATTCAACCTGTCGTCCCAAATCCAACACTTGCCTGGATAGTATAGGATTTAGTTTTTATCTGCTTAAAAAACCAGATACAATTATTACTATAGTCCACATGTTTTACCAGTGAAACTTAGGCATAACTTATGCCATACAATCTATTGAATATTTGCTGCCTCTCTACAACTCAATTAAAGTAAACCTTAATCCCAATCTAGCCATCTACATCAATCTTTTTGCTCCTTTCCACTCAGTTACAAGCTACGTGTTCCAAAAGATCTAGAGATGCCAAAACACAAACATTTTTACACACGTGCATATTGAACATACACAGATACACACATAGTTTTAACAAGAAAAAAGTAGTATGTTACTCCACTTAGTCTTGTTCCAATGTCTAAGTTTTTGGAACTCCTTGAGTGCAGCATCTTCTCCCCATTTCAGAACATGAAACAAGCATTGCTATATAGTAATCATAGAGCTGAAGGAACCTATGTAAGAAAGTAACAATAAGCTCTTAGAATTAAGCCATATGCTAAACACTTAACAGGAATACTCAAGCATTAGTGAATAACCTAAATCCGCTTCAACCTTAAGAAAAAGGAAAAACAATTATTGACAAAGAATTATCACGAATATACCCTTTCTCTCTATAATCTTACTCTGCTAATTTTAGCCCATAAATACAATCCCCAAATCACCATTTTCCCTTAGGGTACTTCATATCCCTTTATGTAATTGACCTCATAATTACACATATCTCTAATCCCTGATACGCCTTCTGAATCTCTTTAATGAATTGTGATCTTGATAATTTAATTTTCTTAATCTATAAAGAGGTAATCTACAGCTTGAAAGATTTGAAACTTTAAATAAGCTAATAGAGTAAGCAATTAGGAAAGACTTGGACCATGACTTCTTTGGAAAAGAAGAGGCATGATAAAGAATCAAGAGAAAAATAGAGGGGCATACAAGAAAGCTTTTTGAATAGTTATCATAGACGCTAACATTTTCAAACTAACAACAACTTCTATTTTTTTCCTTTAGTTATCTATAAAATTTTATTAGAATATGAACTTAAGAAGGATTGCTGTCTAAACATTATAAACAATAATGCGAGCACGATCTTAACATGTATTATTGGAGCTAAATAACAGTTTACAGAACCTAATAGAGATAGATGTCATTTAAAGTCTATGGCAACCAAAGTTACTAAAAGAACAAAACAAAACAAAGCCAAACCTGGGGAAGGGAGAGAACTTGCAAGCTGATGATACAAGACTTAGTTCCACAAATTTGCATAAGAAAATTGCTAATACCATGTTGTTAAGATTGACTATTCAAGATCGGCATATTGTAAATTAATCTAATTTCCAATTACTTAATTGACAGGAGATGAGAATGAAGAGACGAGATGCAACAAAAAACTCTTCTACTGGTTATGTAGAATATAGCAAATTCAGCTTAAAATCCAAATGAAGAATATGTCTTCATGTATCATAACATGCCACTTCAAGCTAAATACCAATATCATTTCAAAATTATATTATCATAAATTTGTATCCCTAATATTTCATAATACTCCAAATCTTCACCACAACTAAATACCAAACAACTCAAAGTGAAAATGTTATCTAGACTTGTTCCTCCAATTATATCTAGCAGCTCCAAAAAAGGGAACAAACAAGTATTAAACGAGGGTCTATCCCAATCAGTAATTTAACTAATATTTGTAAGAATATGTGAGAACAAGGCCATGAAAGGAACACTCTAGCTCTATATTCCAAAAAAATTCCTATTTTTTACATATTCCCAAGATCTTTATCCAATAACATAATGCCTCTATCCTTATGGTAGACAATTTAGCATTCTTAGTGAAACGAAAGTTTGCAAAATTCATGTTGTGCATAGAGGTTTCGAGTTATTTAACAGAAAAATTCATAGCAATAATTAGGAACAAAAATAAAAAATGCTAGAAGGCAAACCCATCACTAGTTCCAACGAATATCATCAGTAAAATATCAGCAATTAAAACATAAAAGCAACACTAAGAAACTCAATGACTTGCTCAAATACAAAACTTGTCATTTGGCACCCAACCCACCTTCCCCATCCTATCTGAACAAAACTTTAATGAAAAGCAAAATCAGTTCAGTTACAATTAGGCTTTAGTAAAAAGTTACACAACACGGCATATGGTCATACAGCTAACCTACACATAAAACAAATGAATACAAAGTATTGCTACTCATCACAAACCCTCTCTAAAAAGGCATATGTTCAAATTTTTGGAAAAGTGTTTAATGACTGATAATTGTATGTATCGAAAATATAGCGTGATCATAAAGACAGCCATTACCACAATATTTTATGTGTTTTTATATGATTGTTTTATTAAAAGAACCATTGACTAACACTAAGCATCTTATAATCCCTAATAATGATGATTATCCAGCAGTGAAAGCATAAAATATAGTACAATTACAAAATTATATCAAATGTTAATTGTAAAAAAGATAAGAACCATGTAAAAACCGTGTATGCTTATGACATATCTTTCGCATCTCAATGTAAAAAAGGACTCAAAGTTCATTTAGTAATACAAAATTTTAAATTGAAGCTAAGGTGATATAATAGCTTTTCAGTGACCCAACTACAACTAAAAGAAAGCGAGCCGTACTAAAACACTGTTCAAAAAACGGCAGGAGATGATAATAATTAAACGGTAGGAGATGATAATAATTAAAGGAAATAGCATACATGAAACTTTTAGGAAGAACATAATTAAAAGAAATAGCACACATGAAACTTTTAGGAAGAACAATCATAAAAATTACCTGGAAGACAAAACCTAATTTGCTTTGAATAATAATAATTAAAAGAAATAGCATACATGAAACTTTTAGGAAGAACAATAATAAAAATTACCTGCGAGCCAAAACCTAATTTGCTTTGAATCTAAAACTCTCCCTCCTCTTAATGTCACCTGAAAATAGTCCAAAATGTAAAAATCCCTATAGCAATAAATTAAAAAGAAAAAATAAGTGTTAATAAAGAGAAAGAAAAGCTAGCAACAGATTTTACGACAGCGATTCTACCGTACACGTAAAACACTTCGTTTCTCCACTTTGTTGCCAAGAAAACTTGAGAAAATATGTCAAAAGCCGATTATTATAAAAAAGATTTCGACAAAAAGAACAATTCTCTGATGGTTTTCTTTTTCAATCACTTTCTGACAAACCAAACAGATTTTACGCAAAAGAAATTGTTAAACAAAGTTTTACACCACCATCGGTAACAAATTCCGAATCAAAGCAAATTAACAGATCGTAAAAATCTCAAACAACAAATTACTTAACGGAAAACGAATCAGCATTCACGTTTAAAGCTGAGAATGCAAGCTCAAAAAATTATAATAATAATAACGTAAAATCGAAAAAAAAAAATAGAGATCTGATTACAAATATTTACCTGAATCGAGAAAAAAAGAAACAAAGAAAACGAGAAAATAGAGAAAAAAATGAGATCTGTTTCTTTGAAGGAGACAAAGAAATTTGTACCTGAAGAAGCTTGGGAAACCGAAGACGAGTAGTAGAGAAAAAAATATCTGGAGAAGGGGCAGACGAAAGATGGGGGATTTAAATAAGTTAATTGGGCTTTGGCCCCCAAAAAACATAAGTTAATTGAGGAGAGAGCAAATGAAAGGTGCCCCTGCCCCCACGGCCCCACTTAATCGGGTTCTTACCTAATTAATCAGATCTAAATTATTCAATAACCAGACATCGGTAAAGCTTAAGCTTTTTTCTTTTTGAGATATGATTAAAGCTTAATCTTGGTTTTGAAAAAAAATTTTTTCTAAATCTCATATTATTTATCATGTATTAATTTTTTTGAAATTTAAAAAAATTTATTTTAATATATTTAATTTTAAATTTTAAATTTTTTTATAATATCAAATTTTCATGATTTTTAATATCAAAAAATAAAATAATTTTAAAATATAAAAATAAAAATTTTAAATATTCATAAAAATAAGATATAATTTTAATATATATCTTAAAAAAATGAACAAAATAAATGAAATAAAAAGAAAATTAAAGAATTATTTTATTTTTTCGTTTTTATTTTAAAACTTGACTGATTCTTTCATAATCTATGTTTCAGGTTTTTCTAAAAAAATAAATTTAAAAGTAGATCCAATTAATGCCAACTATGTATTAATTTAAATGATATGTATATTAATTAAATTTTTTAAAATTAAAAATTTGAAAAAAAACTTTAAAAATTTAATTAATGAATGATTATAAATATTAATCAAGATTAATTAAAATATCTTTTTAAAATTTGTAATTTACTCCTTGATCTCTATTTTTATACTTATTTGATGGAATAAAGCAATGTGTGAATAATTTTTTTCAATTTGTAATCTTGAAGTACAAATTATAATGTTGTGTTAAATAATTCAAATTAATCAAGTTAATTAAAATAATGTATTTAGTTTATTATTTTTATCAATTTAATAAAAATAATATATTAATCATAATTATTTTACACTTATTACCGTCTCCTATTAAAAATTAGTTTTATGCGTCGTGGAGGCAGCCGTTGTTTCATGTCCAACTGAAAACCGCTATATGAAGATCGAGCCGCCGATATCTCCGGTTTCCACGCCGTTTAAAAAACAATTGGCTGACGTGGTTAGGCAAGCGCCAAAGGGTAGGCAAAAAGGATGGCAACCCAACTGTGACACGTGTTGATAAGAGACATCGACCACGATGAATCGCCTACAACCACAAGAACTTTAAGGTCTTATAACGTCTCAAACTGACACGTCGTCTAATGGAGTTCTTAAAATCTCAAAGTCCGTATGCTCATTTTTCTATTGACTTTTTTGGGGTTTCGGTATTGGAGGCATCAAGAAAAGAAACCTCCATTTCTGAATTAAAAAATAACGAAAAAAAGGGAAAAATGCAACCTTCCTACCCGTCATGGACACGTGTTAATTTTGAAGATTCGTTTTTATTAGGAGAAATAATTTATTGAAAAAGGGCCGAAGATATTTGAGAGAAGTCAAGATATTTTGGAGGGTGGACTGTGAAAAGTTACAGTGCTTATTCGATAGCTATGTAACAGGAGAATAAGATTCGTTTAATTTTATTAAAATATTATTATTCAAAGTTCTAACACGTGAAAAAATATAATCTTTAGTAAGAAGATTGTACGGAGGTAACCGCGCAACTATCGGCATTAACCATTATGAAAATCTGTCGGGTTCGAATTTCACGATCCATTATTAACGAGTAGAGAAGGCAAAAAAATCGATACCTAATTGGTTTCAATTCGATTTTTTAAGATTAATTTTTTATTTGAAAATTGTGTATCGGGCTGAAATTAAATTTTAGATAAATTTAATTTTATTCGATCTAATATATATAAAAATAATTTATTTATTTATTTTATTTTATAATTATTTTTATATATTTAATTTTATATTTATATTAAAAATAATATTTTATTAATTTTAAATTGGATTGAGTATGATTTTATACAATGATGGATCGGATTAGGTTTGAGTATAAATAAATTATCGAATCAGATTCGTATTTTAGATGTTTAAAATCGGATCGAATTTGAAGCAAGTAAAAATTTACTTCGATTCGATCCGTTGTCATCTTTATTAACAAGTGATTTATAAATTTAAAAAATTTATAAATTTTTTTAATGAATTTACTATTTGTCTTAATATTAAAGATAGAATAATCTCTTTTATTTTTAATTTTTTTATAAAAAAATTTTAATTAACTAAAAGAATATAATACTTTGGATATGCAAACTATCTCCATTGTACTCAGATAAGGGTGCAACAATCTTTGTTAAATTTCTTTATTTAATTAAGCATAATTCAGTACTCTATTAATCTCCAACCAGCTTGTGACGTTAAACATTGCATTAATTCTAAGAAAATCATGCTGGTTGGACGATATATCTTCGTGAATAATCTTATATATAATTTGAAAGATTGCATTTTGTTTCTTCAAGCATTCACACAGATCTGGGCAACAATAAAATATTTTTCTACATTTTGAGTCACGCTTATAAAAGATCTTCATAAAAGACAACGGCGGTACATTAAAGAAAACAAAGAAGCAAAAACGTGTTAAAGCATCAACTTGCCTTGCTTATCGCGCTTAGGCAATTAATAAAAAAAATGTTCGATGTCGTATTCATTTTAGATTGCTTAAAATCAAGTTTAAATATTTCTCCAAAGGATTTTTTTTTTTTTTCAGCATAAACCTACTTATCACTCGGAGATCAAGAAAAACATAAAATCCAGCAGGACAAATACCATGTTACATTTGTAGTTTGCTTTGCTCAAGATCCCTGTCGGCAATCTCGTAAGCTTTTTCGTAGTGACTAACAAAGCTTTTAGGAGAGTATAAAAATATTAATTTTGAATCAAATTTTTTATTTTTTTACGAATTATGTGTGTCATATATAAGTAGGCTAAAGAGAAACAACCGTTTGTTAGAAAGTGTAAAAATCCCAAACCACATCTTCACTGATGGAATCATAGGCATTGCTTGGTAACATTGAATAATAAGGGGCGAATCTAGCGGTAGATATATGACGTGGCCCCAAAAATTTTGATTAATATTATTATTATACTTATAAAATTTCCCTTCTTTTTTCAAGTTTGTTTATTATTTTGTTATTTTCGTCCATATTCTATGAATCTTATCAACAGGTATGACATTTTATTGTGGTTTTTATTAAAAAAAAAAAAGTACTATTGATAAAACCTTCATGTAACTAAATGAAAGGGTTCGTTGGTAAAAATTATTGACTGTGGTCTTCGTATGACCTTAAAAAGTAAAAAATTATTGACATTGCATCAAATATGCCCAAAAAGGTTCCTAATCTTGAGATTCACTATGAAAAAATAGAAAGAAATCAGACATTGTAACCAATGACTACACAATTACTTAATTATTATTAACGTGTGCGTCTGAAAATTACATTGTATTTTGTAATTTTACATGATTGCAAAAATTAGATTAATACTACAAAGTTTTTTTTTTAAATAATATATTTTGTTGTACATATGATTTTAATATAAATATTTTCTTTAATCCCAATAATCTTAAATTTCTCATATTTTAAAATTTTAAATAAAAAACTTTCAAATTAAAATATAAAATTATAATTTATATTGAAAACTTTGAAATTAAAATATCAAATTATAATCTATAGGACCAAGGACTTTCATACCGAAAAAAATAGATGAAAGATGTAAAGTTCCAAAACCCTTGATGTGAAAATCATCCAGGGAGCCCATGATTGTGGTTTGAGTGGACATGGGTATGAACCCATATAAGGAACATAATAGATTGGGTCGCAACCATAAAAATTGGAGCCCACTCACCTCCAAGTCCAATTAGCTTCAACATTGGCAGCCACTCGCTTATGCCTGCAGAGATATTTCACTAGAAACCATAACCAGAAGAATATAAAAATGGACAACGTTACAACGCTGGCACCTTCTCTCACTTCTCAAGTTATCACGTCACAGAGCCCATCTTTCTACTCTCATGAAAGAATCCCATTTGAATAACTGCTACTTTTCTGATAAAGAAAGACTGGTTCTCTCCACATAACTCTGATGAAATTACCGCATTTAACTTCCTGTTTTCTTTGAAACACTTTATTATTTTTTAATGGATGGTTTTTGAGTGTTGATATTTTGGTTATTTACGAAATCGATGGTTTTTGAGTGTTGATATTTTGGTTATTTACGAACTCGTAGGAAAACTACGGATATGGTAGTACATATAAATCATACGGTTTTGTTCATTTCAACACTTTCACAGCGAGAGTTTAAGGAATTTTAGTTTTTTAGAAGCTAGGATTAAGGCTAAAGCTGTTGCAAAGTTTTTGTCATGTGAAAGCTTATGTGGGGTGCGAACGTGTGGGTTTTCAAAAGCAAAGACGATGTAGGGTCTTTGTTGTTTCAAAAGTTGAAAGTGCTGGTGTTAATGGTAGGCAGCAAAATCTTGAAAGTTTCCGGACATTTTGGAAATGGTCATGTTTCATCCAGTCCGTTGAGTGCCTTTTACAGTTTTAAGGAATCTGATAGCATTGTAGCAATAATCAGCTCCGTAAATTTGTCAAAATGGTGAACTGGAAGAAGGGTTTAAGCTTCTCGAGGGAATGACTCATCATAGTGAGATTCCTGATATTATAGCTTGTACAAGTTTAATTCGTGGATTTTGTAAGAAAGACGAGACTAGAAAGGCTACGCTGGTTATGGAGATTATAAAAAATTCAGGGGCAGTTCCTGATGATATTATAATGCAATAAAATTTTTTCACGACTTTGAGAGAATGGGTGTTAGGTCAAATGCCATAACCTATAACTCTATCATGTTGGCCCTTTGTAAGGCTCGGCAGACTGATCGTGCAATTGACTTTTTGGCTTATACGGTGATGAGACGATGTGAACCTACTGAATCTACATACACCATTCTCATTGAAGGCATAGCATACGAAGGCTTAGCTAATGAGGCTTTGGAGTTACTAAATGAGTTATGCTCTAGAGGAGTTGTGAAGAAAAGTTCAGCAGAACTGATGGCTGCCAAGATGTAGACTGTGGTGCCGTATTTAGTTCTCCCTTGGGTGGCAAATGGTAACTCTTGCCACTTTATACTGCTTGCCCCATTTCTGCAGGCTAGGATACTACAGTTTACTGATTTTTCTCCTCACCTTTGAATGATATCCAAGTGCAACTTTGGTAGATAGCCATGTAGCCTCACCCTTTTGCCTGTTGGAGTTCTAATCACCCTTTTTGGTCTTGAATTACAGTTTCTACCTGTCATGAACATTTGCTTATATCCTTCTTTAAGCATGTAAATGCTTTTCAGTTTTCAAGTTTTCCTTGTTCTCTTAGCTTGCAGCTGATGTGGTAGTTATGTCTTTTGGTTAATATAATGTCAATTAGTTTCTTTCTTAGAATTAGTTCATTGCTTCTCATGGCATTACATCACTATTGTGGATTATTTCATTGCTTCTATGGGAAGTACAGCTGATAGGCATTTAATCTGCATTCGCCCAAATACTCTGCCACAATGATTGGAATCGTGTATTTGTGATTTTAAGATACCTGATTAATTAAGGGATTTCTTTTGCACTCTGCTATTTAGAGGTACTGGACAAATGTTGTTAACATATAAAATGTACTTAACTAGGCACTTAAGAAGAAAGCATTTATGTCCCCTCCCTCTTATATTTTATTGAATTTGTGATTGATCTAGAAGAAAATTATTGTTCAATTGTTAAGCTGAAAGCTACATACCATGTTGTTCATCATGATAATGGTTATAACATCTGCTATGAGTGTAATGGTAATTCTAAGAAACCTCTTGCTACTTATTTCTGATTGAAAACTTTTCTTTCTTCAGGTTCAAACATGAGGGATTATTACTTATGGAGTCATATTTATCTTTTGGGAATCTGTATAGAAGTTTCACTCTATCAAACTCCTGGATTAGATTAAAAACTTGAACTTCAGGGCATTGTTCCTTTTTTATGCTTATGTTCTGTTTTAGTTCTATACTTTCCTGGAGTGGATACATTTCTCTTGTGGCGTCAATTTCACTGGCAAGTACCTTTAATAAACAGCCATGCCAGTCTTCTATCAGCCGAGCATCTAACCGGGAGCTTCACTAGAGAATATGCTGAGTTACCTATTGTATCTACTATCTAGAGCAAAAGAATTATAATTTTTTGGTGTTGCTAAAGGACATTAATCGCGAGAAAAGGCAGCTAACAAGGATGAATGTAGGCATAATAACTGGATAAAGAAGGGGAAAGTGAAAATTCAATGTTGATTGGACGAGTGTAGGACAAAAGTGACGGATACCCCAAGGAAAGTAGGAACCAGACGAGGAAGGCAGCTGTCGAAGGCCTGAGACACATGGTTTAAGGACCATAACCGAAAGCAAGTTATTTATCCACCCAAGTTTCTTTTTTTTTTTTTAATATGGCATCAACCGTGTATACATACACGAGGCTATTCTCAATGTAAAATGCTTCCAAATTTTTATGTGCACTAGCAAACCAGAAAGTCTCTTTCAGGTAAACAGAAGGTTTTCTTCTATCATCATAAAAGAAAAGAACACAATAAAAATCAATGTGAATATCGTAACTTGAAGAATTTCAACGATGGTCTTTGTTTTTAAGATAAATCTATTATGGTTATAAACTCCAATTTATTGAATGAACTCCAAGTTTTTATGAAGTTCTCCGTTGTTAGAAGAATCTTCATTTCTACATCGTATCCAATGGAGCAAATTTATTACACCATCAATGTATGGTACCCAAGATTTTGCTTGGCGAAACCAATAGCGACAAATGATTCTTCACTGTCTCTCTCTCACCTTAGATTCCTGCACCTTGTCTGCATTACTTCTCAGTTCTCAGTCTCACCTTTCCTTTTTTTTTTTTTTATTTAGTTCTTAAAACCTAAAAGGAGAATAACCTTTTCACCACACTGATCCTTTGGATATGCTTCTCTTCTCTACCACATACTCAACATCCAAAATAAAAGAAGCAGAGAGAAAATCTAGAGACCCCAAAACCTTTCATAAAGAACATTTCTTCATCATTTAGATGCAAGAAAGTTTCTCTTGAAAAGGCTCAAAAACCATGGAGGGAAGTTCACCTTTGAGGAACACAAATGAAGAAGAAGGGTTGCTTTCCTGCTGGGGTCGTCTCAAACTGAAGCTTCCATGGACGAAAAGAAAAATAAGAAGTTTGGGCAATAGCAAAACGGCAGCTTATAGGGCAAA